AATTGAATCGATTATTCATCTAAGACGAACCATATTTGCAACGCTTGGTTTATGTTGAAAGTTATCAAACGGTTTAAAACTATTTACGTTTTTTAAGCAAAGCTAATTTATTAAAAAAAAAATCTAAAAAATAAACAATTCTGATCATCAAATAACTTTGCACAATCATTAAAAAAAAATAATACTTTACTACTTAAAGAACGAGTAGAAGTTCCTATCCAAAACTATTTGCTGCCGATTCACGGAATTTCCTGTTCGTATTATAAATCATTCTATAAAGATCGTATCTGCAAAAAAAAAAAAAAAAAAAATCAATTAAAACTGAGGTCATTTAGTCATCAAACTATATAAAAACAAATGAACGGAATTGGAAAATGTATTACGAACTGTCTATGTATTTGCTACAATAGATTGATTAAATGATCTTAGTTTTAATTCATTTTTTGCAAAGATTATCTTTACAAAGTGATCCATAAAATGAACAATTCTGATCATAAACATAAAACTCTTTGCTTCGAACATGAAGAATTTTGAGTAGGAAGTCATACTCATCCTTGTGTAACCAATCATTGTTCTAAAAAAATGTAAAATTTTGATAAGGTTGCAAGTGCACTTGAACTTATAGTATATGAACTTGTTTGAAAATGCTTTTAATATGGTTGATAGAGCCTAGAGAAAAAAATTTGGATTCCAACCGCACTTAAAGTGTTTTTCCAAGATTTAGTTGCATTTGTACTAAGAATTTGTTCAGAAACTCTTTTCACTTAAAACGCCTTCATCCATTTTAAAAGTATTTCCAAACGATATTATTTACACTGAGAGAGAAGGGTGGTGGACTAAATCTCACGATGAGCTAGCAATAATGTGGTTAAATTCGTCTTTGGTGAGAATTGAACCTAAGACCTCTTACTTACAAAGGAAGAGAAATATCACTAAACTGTAATATTAGGTGTCTTGTAACAGGAATATCACTAGACCGTAATATTAGGTATCTTGTAACTCAGTTGGTTAAGAATATTCGTTCATACACATGAGATTTTGTATTCGAATTCTCCTCCACGTAGTTTAGATGAATCTCTAAAGTTTCCAACAGTTCGAAAAAGAAAAAAACAAAACAAAACAAAAAACAAAAAGACCAAAATTTGATGGGTTGGCGGTTGGCCCCCGCTGGGTATTTGCCGTAAATTGGGTTAATTGGACTTGACGATCATGATTTTGATGTGTAAATTGGACCCCACGGAATCACATCACATCAGACGTTAAGCCTACAACTGCCCAGGACTGATAACTCCCTATCAGCTTCGGTCACTATTATATTTTAAAACATAAAATAAATATATATAATTAGTACGGTGTACATTTAGTAAAATGAATATATGGTACAAATTAATCTAAAAAATATAAAAACATATTAAAACTCAAAATTATGCGGTAAAGATTAATTTAAAAAATAAACATAGGCACGAAAGGAAATTAAAATACATCGGTACAAATTAAACCAAAAAGATATTGGTACAAAACTAAAAAAATGGGTACATATTAAAGATAGAAATATATGAAAAATATCAAAAGGGATATATTTAAATATGACTAAATAAGTTTTAAATATTAAAATTGAAATACGATGACATGTAAATTATTTAATACTGAAATAATGATGTGAATAAGTCAAAGAACCTTTGGTAAAAAAATGAACAAGAAGTAAGGTTTCGGTTCATAAAAAATGAAAATGAGGAGAGAACCTTATTTATACTTATTTTATATTTAAAATAAAATACTTCAACTATTATGTTGTTTTTGGTATGAGAATTGTTATTAGCATTCTAAAAATCTCATTTGGTACTCCAAACTTTTTATAATTAGAACGAAAAATACATTTGTCATGAGTGTAGAATAAGATTTTTTGGAATGCTAATAACAATTCCCTTTGGTATGTCTACAAAACATTTCACGTTTTCAACGCTCAACTTGTTTATCGACTACAAAACGCCAAAAACTTTATTTCTGACTTTAACGACATTTGTGTCCCATCATTTTTCATAATATTGACAAGATAACACACGATTTTAACGTGCAACTCATTTATATATAAACTAGAAAGTGCCAAAAGATTACTTCTTACTGATAAATGCATTTGCGCTCTGTCAGTTTTGATAATGTCAACGAAAATTGAGGCTTTCAACGCGCAACTCGTTTATCAATCAGAAAGTACCAAAAACTTTATTTCTAATCGTTAAAAGCATTTGCACCCTCTCGTTTTTGTATAATGTCAATCGACAATTCACCTTTTCAATACGCATCTTGTTTCATCTAGAAAGTGCCAAAACCTTTACTTTAGACCGTAAATGCATGTGCATCTCATCGTTTTTTATAATGTTGACAAGACAATCAACGCTTTCAACACACGACTCATTTATCAACTAAAAAGTGCCAAAATTTTATATGAAGGACTTACTAGTGGATTTCAAAAGACAAAATATAGGAATTTTCCTAACAGTATAAGGAATTTACATTATTAGCAAATATTAAACGCTCATAGGCATGAGTGAATTTGACATCTTCTAGAAATAGAAGCTTCGATGTTCAGACGCCAAGATCACATGGCCTTCTTGCCTAAGACACAACCAACACCCCCTCCAATGTGTCTTCGATCGACCAGCCACGTTGTTCGATCACCCAAAACAAATCATTTCTCACCTTTAGGCTATCTTCAATTCAAAGGTGAGAAATCCTAAAATTTAACCCCGTATTTAAACTATTCATATATATATATATATATGTGTATGTATGAGGTCAGTGAGTATGGTGCTTCCTCATACCAATTGGTAAACCAGACCAACTTTGAATGCTTGGAACTTTTGTGAAAGGTGGTACTCTTGGACAAAGTCATAAGCATAATTGCAGCAGTACGAAGTATGATGCTTCCCCATAGCTCATAAGCTGAAATTGGATAAGCAAAAACATGGAATCAAATCAGCACGGCAGCACTTGGAGCTTTGTGCAACAGAGAGAAATAAGGAAAAAGTTTTAAAGCTCCAACTTTTTACCAAATATGCTCTTACTTTCTCTGGTTAATGCCTCGTCGCAAGTAACTAGTGAAGTTATTAGTGGGTTTAAAGGCTCATTTGAAACTGCTCGCTTTTAGCAAAAATGTTTTAGGGTTCTAAAAATGTTTAAAGTGTTTTTTTTTAAGATTTACTTATATTTTTACAAATAATTGGGGCCAAAAATATTTTGACCAAAAACACTTTCGTTCATTTTAAAAACACTTCGAAATAAGTGCTTCTTCAAACGGAGTTAGCTTATCATATGGGGAAGTTTTAAGGGACTTGTAGCTCGTGTAGTAAAGAGTTATGTTCATGCAATCAACAAGTTGTGTGTTATAATCATCCTTCCGCAGTATTGATTGTATCAGAGAAGTTCATATGGTGAAATTAATAGAATTGAAGGTAAAATATTATCAACAAAAAAAATGTTTGAAGTTATTATCAACAAGTTGTGTGTTATAATCATCATTCCTAAGACCTCTTCCAACCCTGGACTAAATGCCAAATTAACACATTTATGGCCCCCCCCCAAACACCACCCAACCCAAGCTAAACATTGGGCTAAAAGCCAAATGCTAAAGTTAGGCCAAATACCCCCTAAGTCACCCCTCCCCCACCTCAAAAAAAAAGCGTGGACTCGCCAAACTTTGGGCCAGTCTCGGCCCGCCCACTCGTTGACGCCCCCCACGTGGCCCGCCTCCATTCAACTCCCGATAGCGGGGGGCCCACTGTCAGGGCCCCTGTCGTCCACTTCCCTAAGCCCAACGGCTCTTTTCCTCATCGAATGACTAGCATTTAAGGACCGTTGGTTGATCCAATAGTCCATATTCAAATTTTATTTTTAAAATATGTTATTTTAAAATACATTGAATCCAACGGCTGAGATCAAATATAATCAAATCTAACGGTAAAAACAAAAAAGATCCAACGGTCCAAATTTAAATCCAACGATTAAAATAATTAAAAAAATTTATTTAACTCAAAATTCACCCAAAAACTCTTTAAATACCTATGTATTTGTTCAAACATCCACACAAAACTCAAATTTCTCCTACAATTCTTCCAATTTATCTTTTTACCACTTATTTCCATTTCCAAATTGTTCAACATGGCAAGAGAACATATTAGAGGTCATAATTGGACTTGTGAGGAAGATGTTGCTTTATGCTTAGCATGGGTTTCGGTTAGCGAAGATGGTGCAGTTGGCGCAAATCAATATTAGTTGCTTGGTATTGTGCCATTTGCATTGCCCGGCTACACCTTCTTCCATCACCCATTGATGTGATATTAAGGATTTTTAGGAAACAAAAACTCTTTGAAAGTTGAAAGATTTGTGAATATAGAGGATGATTGAAGGTTGAAAATTTGTGTGATCAATTAATATTGGACCTATGTTGATATAGAGGATGATTGATGAAAGTTAAACGGTTGCTGAGAGTTGAAAGTTTGGTGTTGAACGGTTGGTGAAAGACTGAAAGTTGAAGGCTTGTTTTGTGGAAAATTGAGTGATTTTTCAATATTTATCGAAATTTAAATATTTTAAAATTAAAATGTTCATAAAATTAATTTACGATAGTCTACATATTTATTTAAAAAAAAATTGATTTAAGAAAAAAATTAGCCTAAGTTAATTATTTAATAATTCCAAGCTAAATTTTAGACCATAAATGTTAAAGTAGAAAATCAGTTTTTGAGCTAAAAACTAAATTTTTTCAGGCTAAAAAATTTGGTTTTTAGCCCAAAAGTTGAAAATGGTCTAACGGCTTATGCCGGTTGGGGTATTTACCTTAAAGTCATATTGGGCTTTTGTTCTTTCTTTGAATGGGCTTCTGACTTAAAATCATCTTAGGCCACGTCCGGACAAGATTATATAGGCGGGAAAGAGTGAAATACCGTTTGCACGAGTCTGAAAGAAACGACATGTCGTCCCTATAAAAAACGCAAAATAAGGAAGACACACGACGCCCTTTTCTCCGTCTCTCTCTCTCCTCTACTGACTTTCTGCAATCAACTGAGCTAGGGTTTCGGAGTCGCCATGGCCGATTTCCAGAGCTCGACTCACCGAGCCAGGTGGATCTTTACTCCCGAAGAACTGGTAATTCGCCTCCTTCGTATTTTCGCCTTTTTTTTTTTTTTTTTTTTTTTTTTTGTGTTCAGCGAAGGCCTGTTTGGTTGCCGAGAAAATGAAGGAGAATATAATTTCTAACTTTCTAGGTTTATTATTTCCGTCGTTGATTTTGGCTTCGATTGTGCCGAAAATTTAACTGTTGCTTTTGCTTTCGCTCTCTGTTTGATTTCCTCTGAGAAAAAATTGAAGTGGTGGTCAAGTTATAAATTGGAGGAATTTTAGATGAAATTAAATGAAGAAGCTTGTTTTCTTTGGGGCATTGATGTTTGCAAGGCTTTGAAGTTGAATTGAAATTTCGAATGCGTTTATTGATTTGATTTTTCAATGTTATAGGTTGGTAAATACAAGGCTGCTAATCAAAGAGCAGTGCAAACATTGGAGAAGGTACGTATTGTTTGATCGAAACAAGTAACTGATATCTTCATGCAACTCTCGTTGATAGCTGATTGTTTCACTTGTCTGTTGGAGTTAGAGTGTATGTACTAATGCATCGAGTGTACCTTATTAGATAGTTTTAGGAGATGTTTACTGGCTAAGCGGCTAGCAGAGGATGTGATGAAATTAGGGCAATGTCTTGACGTATTGGTTTAAGGATATAATTATACCTTTCTACTAATGCATGTGATTTTGTATGTCATTTGTAGTATTACATGTTGAAGATGTCCACATTTTGTCCCATAGGAAAATAGTTATCTTTCCGCAAAGTGGCTTGAATTGTTTTCAATTTTTCTAACAAATAATTTCTTGTGTAGTATGGAGCGACACTAATGGAAGTGGATGTTGATGGAACATTATCATACCCTAAACCCCAAGTAAATGGTAATGTTCTTTCAAGGAACCCCTCTCCCCTCCTCTTCCCCCACCCACCCAAACACATGCACACGGAGCTGGTTTTCAATGGCTTTAATTTTTTTTTTTTTTTTCTTTAAATACAGCCGATTCCCGTCCAAAACCCATTAACATTGATGAGGAGCAATTTATGCGAGTATTTTATGAGAACAAACTTCAAGAAGTGTGTACCAACTTTCACTTTCCGCATAAAGTTCAGGTATGTGGTCTCCTCTTTTGACAGAAAAAAAAAATAGTAATAATTATTTAGGAAGAATGAAACTAAATTTTTTTTATTAATTTTAGCACTATCCATATCCATGTCTAATTGGTTTCATTTGCAGGCAACGGCTCTCATATATTTCAAGAGGTTTTATTTACACTGGTCGGTGATGCAACATCATCCCAAAAATATAATGTAAGGTTGGCTTATCTCTATTAAGTATCTCTGTCAATTGTCAGCATATGTTCTTCTAGGTAGAAATTCACTAAGATGTTGAGACATTGTAGAAAATCAGGTCATATTTCTAATGTTTATTGTGTTTGTACATGTACCTAATTGTCTGTGGATTTTCAATTTAAATTGATTGACTTGTGCACAGGTTAACCTGTATATATGCAGCTTGTAAAATAGAGGAAAACCACGTATCAGCGGAGGAGCTTGGTAAGGGGATCTCACAGGATCATCAAATGATACTCAATAATGAGATGATAGTTTATCAGGCATGGATGTGCCACACATTTCTTTGTTGTTTTATTTTGTTTCTGTTTTCTTTGTTAAATATAATATACCTTTATCTTGCAGACTTTGGAATTTGATCTTATCGTTTATGCACCGTACCGCTCAATTGAAGGATTTGTCAATGATATGGAGGTAAAGTTTCTTATGGTTTTCTATAGTGCAACTTTAATATATATATATATATATATATATATATATATATATATATATATATATATATATATATAGGAATCCTTAAACAAGAGGGTGTCCCCATTTTTTTTGAAAAATGGGGATCCCTCTTGTTAAAGGGCCTGGTATGTGTGTGTGTGTGTGTATATTTTTTTTTTTTTTTCATAATGCACTTTTAAGTTTTCTTAGAAGTTCCTTCCACGCACTTGGTGACAATTAGTGTTGATTTTTAGGAATTCTGCGGATTAGAGGATAACCAGCTCCAAAATCTCAAGGTAATTGTTGGCTTTATGTTAATTGTTATTTGGCTGAATAGCATGTTGAGTATCTGTATCTACACGACTGAATCTTTAAAAGTCATTCATTGTTGAGATGCTGCATTTTGAATAACCAGTCACAGGCAATGTATTGCTTCATGTATGTTTCTTAACCGCTACACATATGTTGATGGATGTTTTGTTGAGATTGCAGGATGCGGCAAAGATGGAAGTTGATAAAATCATGCTCACAGATGCACTACTCCTTTTCCCTCCTGGGCAGGTATGATTTGTCAGTCAAACTTCTTGCTGTTTACAGCTCAGAATTTTGTTATTAATTTGAAGCTATCTTAATTTGATGCAGTTGGCATTGGCTGCATTGCGTAGTGCAAATCATGTATGCAGAGTTGCTGACTTTGAGAGGTTATCATTTGCAATCGGGTTTCCTATAGTTTTTGTTAATAGTTTTCTTTCCTGTATAGTTCTACTTATGCCTTCCCGCCAACTTTCCTATAGGGTTTGTTGTTGGACGACACTAAAAAAGTTTCTTACATGAATGCTCATTTTCAGATACCTGAGTAGCATTCTCTCTCGGCAGAGTTCTGCGCATACCATTTCAGAGCTAGTCGAATTCCTTAATGCAATCGATTCTTGGGTATAAATTCATTGCAATCAGCATTTAAGTGTGTTGCAAACTTCATAGGCTCTCTGATAGTGGCACGAACGTTTGTGAAAATTTCCAATCTCTTTTCTTCATGTCTTATGTATGTAGGCAAAAAGATACAAGTTTCCCTCAGACAAGGATCTCAAGCACATCAACCGGAAACTGAAATCTTGTTGGGGACTTAGTACACATGACGAGTATGCTCCTTATCTTGAGATAATCACGTTTAATCTGGTTACCTTTTCCTTTTGTATCATTGCCATACATTGACTACTTTTCAGGAGCAAGAAGCGGGATAAGAAATCAAAGCACAAGTCAAAGAGGAGTTCAAATGAAGCACAAATTCTACCATCTCGTGCTCAAATGTATGCCCTTTTTTGTATTCTGTTGTTTTAATTGAAGGTCTAGTGCGAGTGTGGCTACCATTTGGCGGCTTAGTTTTGTGAAATTCGCCATCTTATCTCGGTTTCTGGGCAATTTCATGTGCTTGTTCCTTAGAGATTGTTGATACACTGCTACTGGTGCTACTGGTGTCTGAACAGTTGGAGAGAGCCAAATTTACTTTCTTGCCGTATTAACACCTTTTGTATGGTTTCAGGTAAATTTATCTCGGTCTTTCCCTGGGATTCAGTTCGTCAGGCTCGGAAAAATACTCCAACCAGTCATCCTGTACCTTACGGACGACGAGAATTTTTACCCGTGCTTTAACTAATGTTTTCTTTCTCCTTATCTTGCTATCTTCGTTTGTGTTCTGTTGTCAAATTAATCTAATTTATGACTTTGAGTTTGAATGCGATGACAAATTTTATCTGCCAAAAAAAAAAAAAAAAAAAAAAAAAGAACCCTGGATTTTACAGTAATGAAAGTAATTTCCATTGTATTCAACGAAATGTGTGTTTTCCATAAAAGAATGCAAAGCTTTTTGGTTTCGACCATAATCATTAACAAATAGGGCTTCTATTTGGAAGCGCTGGAAAGGATGATAGAGAAATGCAAATGATATTTTCAAAAGTGAGACTCTTTAGTGTAATATAATATTAATACGAGAATTAATGCTAAATAGTAAGGTTACGGAGAGTTCATGAATGGTTTGGAGGAGGGTTCTTTATCCTCCCAATCTCTCTATGCTTGTATGTGCTCTATTTGAACGGTTACAGTTAAGCTACGTAAATATTTTATATTGATTTTTTTATAAAGATAATAAAACAAAAAACAATGTGCAAAAGAAAAGGATGGAAGGAGACGAGAATATGAAAGTAAAGAATCTTGGTTTTACTTGAGAGTTTTTTTGGTATTTTCGAGAAAAGTCATTGAAAAGGGTCCCACAGTTTTATTTTTTTAATCCAAAAACACTTTATAAACTTTCTTTAATCATTAGTACAAGTGGCGGTGCTAATATTGTAAATAAATTAAAGCTTGGGCACAGTAACAGTTTCGTAATTAAGTAGAAAGTTGGTAACACCGGCAACTGTTTCTTCATAAAATCCGCAACGGTTTCCTCGTACTCCACAAAATTTATTCTAAATTTGCACCCTATTCGTATTTATTCTGATTTTGCACCCCTACTCGTATTTATTCTAAATTTGCACCCCTATTCGTATTTTGGGTTTGGGTACGTATTTTGCCCCCTAGTCTCGGACAAAAACCGAAACCACACCGTTAGCTCAGACCAGTTCAACAAACGTCGCCGTTTAACCCTTCATCTCCCTACTTCCCACTGCTATACCCTGAAAGGCAGCAAGAAGGAAACCCTAGCTTTTGCCCGTATTTTCTCGGAAACCAAACAGGAAGTAAGTGTTTCATTACTGTAAAATGCAGATTGTTATTTTTTCTGCTTTTTTTATATTTTGCTATGGAAACCAAACAGGAAATGCCTCCAAGAAATTTATCACTTCTGGTCAGACTTTCATGCCAACCAATTTCAGAAGCAGGTTTTGTTCTTCAATCTCGTTTCTCGATTTCTTCCATTTGTGCTTTTACTGGTAGAGAATTTGAACCGGAATCGGTTTTTTTTTTCACTTATTTAATTTAAAATTCCATCCTTTAATTGTCTGTGAAATCAGCTTTGACAATTTCATTCAGATGAACTCATGGCTGTTCCGGACACCCGAGAACTTTGCTTAAAACCGACTATTGCGTAAAAATTAGAGATGAAATACAACGCCAGTGTATAAGTTATTAAGCCCGTGTTTTCGTATCCAGTTAGGCTTAGTTCACTGGTTAGTTTGCATACGGTATCATACTAGTAATGTACAATACTGATACCGTGCTTGACCATACATGTCCGGAAATTTGGCCTACTGATAGCTGAAACCAATCCTACCTTGTAACTGTGGTACCTAAACCCGATTTGTATAACATGAATGAGTTTTTCATGGTGGATTCAAATAAGTCTTGATGTTGGTTTTCGTTCACTTGGCGTCCTAATGTGGCATCTTTAGCATATTAACTGTAAAACCTTGAGTCTTTATGTTGCTTGAGAGGACACAGAGAGGATAAAATCATAGAAAGAAATGGGCGGAACAAAAACCCAAAAGGGGTTAGGGAGTCTGAAAGTTGAGATTCTATTGAATCTGTTTCGTCCTTGAGGACTTAGTGGCCTATTCTCTAGAGGATGATGAAATACGATGATCTTCATCTGTATTCATCATTATGTTAAACCTGTACTTAGTCAAGTGATTAGGTGCGTCAAAAGGTATAAAATGTATTACGATTAGAGATGAAATACAATGTCAACGGAAATAGGGTTTTAGGCGTGCACGTAATGATCCACTGCATCGATAATGTTTAGACTGAGGATGTATTTGTTTCACTACAACCTCAAAGGCTCCAAATCATCTGCCAGGTTGGGGTGTTCCAGCATGAGTCCATTGTGAGGGTAGAAACTTCTGCCTGAGTTTGCTGATTTTCCGGAAGTTAGCATTCCGTTCGATGATATGTTAACTGAATATAACAGATTAGGGAAGAAACGAAAATTTAAAAAAAAAGAGAGAAAATGAAAAAAAACTAAATGTTTCTTCTTCAACACTTCAAAGGCGTTCCATTTTTTCATGGTAAACTGACAAGCCTATCAAGAACTTAAGCGTTAGGGCATTTGCATTGAACCCCCATACATTTATTGTTCCTTCTTGCTCTGTTTAAGCTAACTGTATGAATTACCTTTGCAGCCGCAAAGCCTTCTGCCTCCAGCAGTACAAATAAAACCATACCATCTTCAAATCGGAGTTGTCAAGATCATCTTGGGGCGCCCTCAAAACCGCTTTTGAAAATTATGTCTTGTTATAGGAATGTATACTCTTGTAGCCACGTGATCATATTTGGTTATTGTGTTGGACCTGATATTGATGATGGATGGGGCTATGTGGATGCTTTTATTAATCCAATCACTTAAGTATTTTTCAATATTCCATGTTTTTTCTCCTTATGTTTTGGGATATTTCATAGATTCATTCAAGAAACACTTTTTGTATGCGTTAACAACGTCCAATTTGTAGATGAAAACGCGTAAAAATTGTTCAAATTTTAATATGTGAGGGTCAAAAACCAGCAAGGTACATAAGAGCAAACATTGGCCGGAATCGTGCTGGAAGCTGGTGTAGGCTGCTGCCTCAGAAACATGGTCTGATGTTGTGCTGTTTATTAATCCTAACAAGATAAATGTAGCCTTTGAAATGTGTCTTGATTAGGACAGATTGTAACTCTAGACACTAATTTGGTCACCTTTTTCATATGTAAAGTTGAGCAGCTGCAACTCACATAGATAACCCAAGATCTCGTAGCCCTTTCTCATGGAAAATGAAATATGGATTCTTACTATTCTTATTAAATGGAATTTACTATTTTTTTTATACACGAATCTCCTCTCGCTTTGCTCTCTTAAACAATCCCAGAGTTGGTGTACACCAATGAGGAAAGAAGACAAACCAAGAACTGGTCCCAAAAATTGTCCAACAGTTAAATGAAGACAAATGTTGTGACCGCTAAGTCTTTTGGAGATTGTGCTTCGAATTAGGTAACTTGGGTCCACAATACATGCAATTGCGAAATAAAGACAAAGGCATTGAGAACTGATCCATTTAGAGTTGATTGGGAGTCAAACTTGAATAAGAACTCACTGTTGCGAATGTACCATATGATCATATTATTTATGAGTAAAACCATGACATAGTACTAGTAACGTACGTCATTACTAAGATCGTTATTCCTTTAATTTATCTATTGATTAACCTTGTGCGTAAGAGTTAATATATGTACTTGTTTAATGATATGGTGAGACAAATCAGAGAGTTTGTGATGGTTGATCAGTGGTCCCCTAGCTATATGACCTTATAAATGGAAACCCTAGGAAGCATGTTAATTGAGCCCTAACTCTGACAGCTTGTAATTTTATTGTACTATGATTCTCTTACCTCCTCTTTCCATCCCCTTCTTTCTCATTCTCTTATTTTGTCTTTTTTTTGCAATAAAAAATTAATATAAGATGTTGACGTGGCTTAACCGTGACCGTTCAAATAGGAGGAGAGGGAAGGAGAGGGAAAATAAGAGGGAAGATAATCCTACTCCAATTTTATTAGTACATAGAGTAGGGTTTTTGCACTAATCTTTAACGGGAAGATTACCCTAATCCATATTCCAGAAGCATATAGTAAACTATATTAATTAAGCATGCTTGAGATTCTATCGGACTACTTTAATTTCACAGTAACTCATGCTATCTAAAGCCACAAAAGATTAGTGGTCCTAATCCTAGGGTTAAGAGCAAACCCTAAACCTAGTACTGCATACTGCATTGTTAATTCAGTATACTTGTATTTGATTCTTAATGACTAATCTGCAATTATGTATATATGAAAGCTTCACTTTGATAGTATTTCGGTTTTGTTTGCTAACCATTTCTTTTTCGGTTTTTTGAGTTTTCACTTTTTATGTTTGAGATATAAGAAAAGTACATATATGGTGAAGATGAGATGAAAAAGGTGATGAGATGAGAGAGAGGAGAAGAAATAAGGAAAAACGAATGTAAACAAAGCGAAACAACTTATAATAGTTTTTGGTTTTGCGTTTTTTGTTTTCATTTTGTATCTCATTGCTTATCTATTTCTTCGAATCTCTCCCATCATCCTTATCTTTCTTCTCCATCCCTCATTTTTCTATATTTTCTCTATATCGTTGACGAAAAAGTGAAAACGAAAAGCAAAAACCGAAATGGTTATCAATCAAGCACTTAGTTAATTAACTCTCATGGATATGCTAGGTTGTGGTATTTGATGGACTAGACATGCTAGTTAATTATTCAGTTCAAGATTCCTATATATCATCAAGAAATCATGCATAATTAGCCCGTGAATATTTGGCGTTATTTATAATTAGACAAGTAAACTGTAAATTGCAAATCTCCAAGAACACCTATATATATGGTTTAGGAGGAAATTTCTAAGATAGATAAGGGAATGAGATACAGTACAGCTCATAAGATATAGTCATGGAGGAAATTTATTCAGGGCCCGAATGGACCAAAGGAAGAATTTGATGACAAAAGATACTTTGCTACAAAAACCAGAGAAAAGATTAGATTAAATTTGAAATATATAACTAGCTAGATGATATATACACATTTGAAATATATAACTAGCTAGATGATATATAGATGATACATACACATTTGAAATATATAACTAGCTAGATGATATATGCACATTTGAAATAGAATTTAAATGACTAGGAATCATTTGAAATCTACCTTCTTTGTTTCGTCACTTTCTTTCTTCTGTCAAAATCCTGACATGAATCTATGAATTGTAATAGTCTAAACAAACAATTTTACCTTATAATTCTGTCTTAATCCTTAAATCTGAAATCAATTAGTGCAAATTAGCACTAATAAATGCAATCAAAGAAAGAAGAGAAGAAATTCTTAATCCCAATCATATATATATATATATATATATATATAGCTCAAATATATATATTTTCTTTTTCAGGTTGATATATAGCCAGATCTTGAAAGAGAAATCGAGCGAACCCGTAATACACTGTTAAACGCAGCTGCAATACTGTTTTTTCTTCTCATTATCGGAAAGCTATACCGCTCCTTAACTAAGAGAAAAAAAGGAAAGAAAAATTAAACTTAAGCGGAAAACACCTGAAGAAATTAAGCATGAATATTTGAGTAGAAACTTGGATTATTTTCCTCTTACTAGCAAGTAAATTAAGCCAGTTCATATCAAACCTGACAGTTCACTGACGGAAAAAGTGCAGGCATAACTAATGCCAGCCAAACTCAAACATCGAGCGGTATGATGAAAAATCTGACCTAAAACATCATCCGGAAACTTTTTTAAGTTTCAAATGAAACTTTATTTGGCCCCAGATCCCATCGATCGGAACTGCATTCTTGATCAAGGTCATGGCTTGGTAACAAGGGAGTTGTCACCTTTCCCAAGCACCCGAAACTCCAGATTTGAAGTTTGATTTTGCTGCGCTGCCTGCTGGCCTCCATGACTTTTAATATGTGCTGTGTTTTGGTTGTTAGCTGCAGCTTTGTCTCTTTCAGCTTCCCTGTATTTATGCAAGTACCTTGTAGTAGCCTGGGCATGGTTATCAAAGCCTAGAGCACTCAGAGCCCAACAGATGTCGTCTCCATTGACGGTCTTGCGATTCTCCTTGTGACACTTGTCAGAAGCCTCGCCAGTTACAAAACTTAGGAACTCAGTTGCACATTCTTGCATTGTTTGTTTGGCTTCCCTGGAAATTTTGGCTCTTGGGGGAAGAATTTGTTTCATGATTCGACCCACGTTTGCAATTGGGAGCATTCCATCTTGTTCCTGATCTACCATGTTGATTGATCGATCCATACAATTAGATTTTGGAGGAGTTAATTTGATCTCTTTTGAGACAGACACATTGCTCCAGATCAGAATTCACGCTTGTTTTTTTTATAGATGTTTATGTATATGTGTGTGTATGTACGTATGTGTCGACGTCACAAGTCATTCACCAGTATTAATTAATTCTATAAGTGGTTTAGTATTTGATGATACGTACCCTAACTATTCTATATTAAGATAAGAAAAATATTTGTTTCTAACTACTAAACAAAATAAATTTTCAAATTTTAACGAAGTATTACTAATAAAGTCCAACTTGTCCAAATATGATGGTCAAAATAGAGCTTAGGATGACTTTTAAGTAACTAATTGATCTAATTAGCAAGAAAGAACCACTAATTCTTTACATTATTTCTACAATATATATTTTAATTAGTACGCAGCATCTGAAGCCGTATTTGAGAAAGAGAAGTACTTTTCAACATATGTAGACGGTGGTTTTAAGGCTTTGAGCCCAATCTAAGATTTAAAGTACAATGGTCCCCACCAAACCTCTAATCTCTCTTACTAATCTAAAATTAATTAATCCTAAAGTATTCTTGTAGTTCGTACTCCTGATCAGTTGAGTGGATGGCGTTTGTGCACGTCTCTTGTCTAGCCGTTTAGGGATGGATCCTACCAAAACCTACCTAAAAAAAAAAACCTTAGTGTTTGATTAGCTCATGCATTAGGTTAAATAATGAGTTTGTCACTCTATTTGGTAACAAACAGGCAATGCATTTCCTTAATTTTAGCTGTGAATGATGCAAGTATGTTAGGTTTTGGTCAGGTCGATCCTCCAACTCACTGGTAGAAATTGTTGAAGTTTGAGACCCTCTTGTCCTACATTGGTCAACAGTATTTTTTCACTAGCCTTTATATAGGCTTATTCCTTTTTCTTAGTAATTAGAACTTGGACCATTTGGAAATGGATTAAAGGCTTGGGCCTTATGATTGTGTGGATTAGGCTTGATGATTATACTATAATATTAATATTAATTAATCAAGACAACGGCTTTGGGGCACTTGGGGCCAAGGAATTAAAATTAATCTGATCAATTAGTTTTAATTTCGAATTAAGTTTTTAATTAAATTAATTAAAAACGTTTTGATTAATAGACACAACTCTTTGGAAAAAGTTGTATAGCTTCGGATACATCCAAAAGGTATTTGAAGAGGCATGAAAGAGCCTACATAACTGGAGTCATCAGTTCCATCAAAAATCATCTTTTCTTCCTCTTTATCTTCCGTACAAACTTTCCAGAGAGTAAACACACAAAGCAATTCGCTAGAGTTCTATAATCCAGTGCGGATTGTAGAATTAGGTAGTTGTATCCTGGTCGAGCAGACGTTGTAGAACCACAAGCACACGAGTGGGATGGAAATACTGTTCGAAGGACATAGCATTTGCGCTAGCCTCTACCTTCAATTCATTCAAGTTAGTATCATATTAATTTTTTGTAATTATTGTGTTATTACATTCTGTATTGCAAGTATTTTTGAATAATAAAGTATAAGTATTTCGGTTCTGTATTTTTGTTATTTTATTGTTTCTAAATTGTTCTCCAACAGAAATGGGGCCTAAGGCCACATGGTATTTGGCACATCTCGGATCTGAGGTCGGTGGAAAATTAGCATTGAGTCTTGTGTGAGAAGAAAAATTAAAATAAACACGATATAAAACTTCTCTTGAAAAAATAACCCAAAAATCCTTACTAGTGTACATAAAATAATATAACTCTCAAATCTCATATCTAACACAATCTTAGCCCGTCTAATCCTTGTCTTGCCAAATAACTCACATGTAAAATGAAAAGTGAGGATGATAAACAACAACCATCGTTGATAAGTAGAATATGTAATATGCCAATCAAACGTGTCATTTTACATATACTGTAAAATATGATAATAATATCAAGCTTTAACCATGTAATTCCACATCACATCATCTCTTCGCGTGCTGGTTATCCATCATAAAATGTAGCTCACCACATGACTCCTAACGTCCCCGTGTGCCATACATATTCCTCGGATAACCCAACACTAAAATTCACATGCTCCATGAACAATCACAAGAGTCCATAGAGTGTATATACACATATCAAAACACTTCCTGAAAGCTAACATGCTTGACTTGAAAAATAGATGGAAATTTTTTAAAATAGAGCAAATTCCATGGTAGCTCATGTTTTTCACATTTATCGCAAAATAAGAAATTTTACAACACATTACATAAATCACTAACTTTGGTAGTTAATTAGAACCTCGACAAAAAAATTCCCATTAACAATCTCCACACATCAAACTTACTAATACTCTCTCGATATATGAATATATACACATATATAAATCTATTGCATGCTAGCTGCATGCAGCGTGATAAAAGGAAGGAAACGGATGATGAAACAAGACCTAACTGCGCCCTATTTACTAGTCCAATTTGGATTACTATTAACTAGTGCAAATATTGACTAATATAAACATTTTTATGAGACGATATTTTGTTAGATAAAACTTTAACCATACATCAAAATGTCTACAAACATAAAAATATTAACAGTAAAAATAATAAATTCAAAAACGATAAACCCCCCACATCAGAACATTCTAGTAAAAAATCAAGTCCATAGTGCTCAGTGAGCTCACAATCACCAAAACTCAAAGTACTGTCACAACGAATTGAAGTTGCGCTGCCATAAAACTAATCGCATCTCGCCTTAAATAAATAAAAGTTCTTAAATTGTCCAATTTTCCAGATGCATGTTTTAAGAAGCACATGGTGTTGTTGCAAATACAATTATATATAATATTGCTACTTTATGTTACAGTTTGGAGGAACATTTGTAAGATAACTAGCTAGTTAAGCAAAGTGAGTGAAGTATAAATAAAATTTCAATTTGTTTAAACCATCCACCAACGTGCTTAATTACTTTTTACATTTTGCATTGTACTTAACTGTCACGTTCCGACTCGGGCTCCACCACATCCCAGGGTCGACTCTGCCGTAGCACGATATTATCCACTTTGGGCCTCGACCACGCCCTCACGGTTTTGTTTTTGGGAACTCACATGAGAACTTCCTAGTGGGTCACCCATCCTGGGATTGCTCTCGTGCGAACTAGCTTAACTTCGGAGTTTGAATGAACTCCGAAGCCAGTGAGTTCCCAAAAGGCCTCGTGCTATATGAAGGTGGGCATGTACATATAAGACACATCACTCCCTCTCCATTGGTTGATGTGGGATGGTACAATCCATCCCCTTTAAAGGCCCGACGTCCTCGTCGGCACACTCGCACCAAACGGCAAAGTGGCTCTAATACCATTATGTCACATCCCAGATCAGCTCTGCCGTAGCACTATATTGTCCGTTTTGGGCCCTGACCACGCCCTCACGGTTTTGTTTCTGGGAACTCACACGAGAACTTTCCAGTGGGTCACCCATCCTGGGATTGCTCTCTCGCAAACTCGCTGAACTTCGAAGCCAGTGGGTCACCCCCTCTCCGTTAGTCGATGTGGGATGTTACATTAACGATCCACATAATTCCATTGTTTATTCATCAATCGAGATATCCGATCTCCATTAGACTGGTTAGTAGCAAACTCAAACTTCGCTTACAAATAAGATCGGGTTAGGCCTATAAAGAATATATGCTTTGAATTAAATATGAACCAACTTGTACAAAAGATTCTTCAATTCCATTAAGAAAACCTAGGCTTTGAAAAATTAATTATTAGGCTATTAAGTAGAGGAGTTTGTTCCTATGTTCCTTCTTTCTTTTTTTTTTTTTTTTTTTTTGTATTTTATTTAAGAGGGGGAAGGTTGATGTCCTTTCTGAATAAGTATAACTTCATTTTTTCATATCAATAAAATTTCCTCATACCACTAAGGTTCTAAAAAAAGTATGGTGCACTGGTGATATGGTAATAAACAAATGGAGATGGGTGGGCACAACCCATGACACAAAAATCCTAAATACTAGGAACTTCAAGTACAAGAAAAAAATGCTCTTAACTAATTGACATGCAAACGTAGAAGAATAAAACACATCTTGTACTTCACTCTTTTTGGAGGCCATAATCCGACTTTGTTTTGATTCCTTTCTTTCTCTTTTATACCTTACTATCTGATGGGTGGCATTCGATTAAGACAGGAAATGAAGAAGTACTTTTTAATCTTCTTCAGTCAATCCTTTGCATGGAAAGTTCTGGGCTTGCTTTAGAGAGAAATATTATTCTTGATGTCCAGCAGGAGCAGATATTGGACACCTAGCTACTACCTAGCCAGCTAAAAATGGAGTCCCTTCTTCAAATTCTCCTCTTTCTTCCTTTTTTTATTTGAACAGTAACGATTAAGTTACGTCAATATCTTATGTTTTCTTTATAGAAAGAGAAAGACAAAGAAGAAAGTGAAAGGAGAGAAGATGAGGGGATTTGGATTGGAGATAATCCTACTCGGCTAAAAATAGACAATATGTACTATATATTCTAGCTAGATCAAATATTCCAGTCGACAAGTGGATATTTTTATGACTTCCTTTTGTGATGATGTTCTACTGTTTTTTTAACAAGACCACATATGTATACACATTCTCTCTAAAGTTATATGAAAATAATGATTCGCAATTGGAGGTTTTCTCGTTTTTAAGTACATAGTTCTCTTGTTATTGATGGAGACCTAGTGTGGCCTTCCGCTCAATACTCTTACATGATTCGATCAAGACTTCCGCTCAATACTCTTACATGATTCGTTCAATTGTCTTGATCAATAGTAAGCTTTATTGTAGGGGTGGGCGCGGGTTGGTTTCGGTTTGGCCAAAATTGCAAACCAAAACCAACCAAGCTGGGTCTAAAACTAATCAATTCAATTAATCGAATGTGGCGGGTTGGTTTGGATTGGTTCTCGGTTTATGTGGAGACGAAAATACGTAATAAATTTATCTTCCAAAAGCTACAGAAATTAACACCAATATGAGTGATTGCTCAAAGGAAAGTACAAATGGAGCAGCCCAAGGA